TTTTAGAAAAATATTTCTCTATGACTTTTAAAAAGATCTTTAAAATTTGAAAGTAATTTTTAAAATTTTCTAGTATTCTCTCTGAAATTTTCTTTGCAATTATTTTAAGAAAGAAACAAGTAATTGTAATTTATTGGTAGTCATTTTGGTAGAAATATACATTCCAAAACATGAATAAACATATATATTATGATTTAATAATTTTTATAGGAAAGTTTTTACTATTTACTATTGGTTATCTCTTTGATATTTGAGACTTTAACACTGAAATTTTTTTCTTCTCTTGGTATTGGAGGTTACAATTGTCTTTCATTATCTATAGTTCAATAATAAGTACTAGTGTCTTAAAAACTTAGGAACCAAAACCTAATAAAAAAAAGTTTTATATGCCCTTATATGGAATTTAAAGCTTCTTTTAAAACAAATTCTAGAACTTCAATTACTGTATTTACTACTAAGTCCGCAAACTGATAACTGCAATTAGGGACTACCTTATCTTAGAATGATATAACATTTGTAAAAATGTAAATTATGACACTCCAGTTTAATCCACTAAATTGCTAATTTTAGTTTGTCAGCAACTTCTAATGATCTCGCTCTTGTGATTAATCAGCACACAATATATTTTACTCATCTATAATTGTTCTATTTTCTAAGTAGCAGGCAAAAGTTCAACAAAGCTTAATTATAATAAAATGGGTAATATTTCTATTCCATTTTATTATTTAAAGTTTTAATTCCTGACTTCTCAAAAAATAATTAGAGCTCTATTATTTCCTGAAAAAAAGGGAAAGCCCTGTATATCAGTGTATTTACTACAGAAGTTATAGGGAGGGCAGCATAAGGATAGAAAAGTAAGTACTAAATGATGTATCAATTCAGACAGACAAGTGCATCAGTTATATCTCTAAAATGGGAAATCCCTATGTGAACCTGTAGTTCTATTGGCCATGCTCTCTAATTAGTTTACACTGGATAAGACATCTCTACAGCTAGTTCCTGTGACATTGTGATTTTATAAGAAATATATATTTGATATCCATCTCAGGTTCCTGGCTCATGGCTCCCCCAAATTTAGAATTCTGTGAGCAATAAGACCAATGAGAGCATCTTGTTATACCTGTTCTCTTGTCCTCAGTTCCTGAAATGGCTTCAGGGCCATCAAGGTGAAGTAGATGTCTTGCCATTCATAACAAGCCCCTTTCATCACAATTGGGTTTATGTTAATGAGGTAACTTTTGGAAAGCACCTAAGGGCTGGTTGTCAGGGAAACCAATCTTGAATAAAAGGTTGAAACTTTCAGTCCCACTCTTTGATGAAGAGGGGAGGGGAGAGGGTCTGAAGGTTAAATCAATCACCAATGGCCAATAATTTAACCAGTCGTGAATATGCACTGAAGCCTCCATAAAAATCCAAATGGATGGGGTTCAGAGGTTTCTTGGTTGGTGAAGAGTTGGAGATAGTAGCACGATCATGGAAAGCATGAAAGTTTCAAGCCCTTTTCCCATACCTTACCCTACGTATCTCTTCTATCTGGCTGTTCCTGAGTTATATACTTTATAATAAACCAGTAATCTAATGAGTGAAATGCTCTGAGTTCTGAGCTGCTCTAACAAATTAATCAAACCTGAGAAGGGGGTCTGTGAGATCCATAGGTGATAACTTAGGCTTCTGACTGACTTCTGAAGCGGGGAAGGCAGTCTTGTAGGACTGACCCTCAACCTGTAACCCATGGGAACCTCTGATTTGTAGCTGATTGGGCAAAAGCACAGGTAACACCCAGGGCCTGAGACTGCCTCTGAAGTGAAAGGCTGTCTTGTGGGACTGAGCCCTTAACCTGTAGAATTGATGGTTTCTCTGGGTAGTGTCAGAATTGAGTTAAATTACAGGACACCAAGCTGGTGACAGATAATTGCTTGTGGGTGTGGGGAACCCCCTCCCAAATACACACATCCCACATGTTAGAATTCATGACCAGAATCTTTAGTTCCCCAAAATGGGAATTCTTATTTACCTACAGGGTTTATAATCCCTTTTGTAAGGAAAAAAATAATTAACACATCTCAACCAAAAAATTTTGAACACTAAACACACATTACTATATATTATACATTATATATTAATGTGTGTGCGTGTGTGTATATATACATGTATATATATACACACACATATATATACACATATATTATATATGTACATATATATATACACACATATATATATACACACACACATATATCATAAATGTATTACATACCAAATTCAAAACATAAATGGCCTTCCTCAGCTGTCACTAATCTTTATAAATGGCACAGTTATTAGACTGAAGACCATGGCGGATCTTTTGTCTATACATGTGGTCTCCACGAAGGCATCCTTGTAAAGATACCTTAATTAGAAAGAAGTCTAAATTTTAGCTACCCAGAAGAATGTTTTTGCTCTAGAAAGGGCAGCTGCTGTTCTCCAAGAGAAGAGCAGTGTGCTGCAGCTGTCATTATCCAGCAGAGGTGGCAGGAACATCATCTGCACAAACCAGTAAATTTGTGGAGGTAGTGTAACTGCAAAGCTTCACTTCTTTAAAATGAATTTTTCATTTCTCTTTCTCCCTGATTCAAACTGGCCTTGTGCTCACTTGCTTTTCTTATCCTTCTACATACTGCATGACCACTCCCTTAATCATTAAGCCCTTAGGTCATCATGAAAGTCTTAGAAACAAAGCCTCAAGTATGTTGACTACAGAAAGAGTTTTAGTCAAACTAAAGATAACATCTTAACCTCAGTTATGTTTTACCTTGAGATCCATTAAACTGGAAGGACCCTACCAGTATCACCTTGAAACCAGACAGAATAACGCCATGACTGACATCAGGACCTGATGCAACAATCAACTGCTTCCTACCCTAGCCTCAACCAATCAGTACAGCCCACAACCCAAACTCCCTTAGTTTCCATGACTAATGCTCTTTTCCCTGTATAACCTATCCCCTAGAGACCAGGGAAGCCTGGTCTTAGAACGCTAGCTCACTTGTGTCTCCAGGCTTGGTGCCATTTCCTTAAATAAACCTCTACTTTCTTTGCTGCAAACACCTGTCCATGTCTCCTTTGGCTTTGATGCATGTAGGCAAAAGGAATCCCTTGAGTTTGATAACAATAGGAGACAGGAATGTGAGGCTTAAGATGAAAACAGCCTGTCAAAGGTGAAAGAAGCAAAATTATCCTAGGCACCCAACCAATTTTCCTAAGAGGAGTTCTATCAATGCAAAGATAATGTCCAGAATTATAGGAATTTCTTACTTGTTTATGTTCCTTTAATATCTGCTTATATCTCAATATTTACAAACATTTAATGAAGTTAGTATATGTGTTTGTCTTCTCTACTGGATTCTGAGAACTCGCACCCTCTGAATCTTATAGTTGGGTGGAACTGAATAAGGGGCACTATCAATATGTATGCCAACTCAAAAAATAGCTAATAATGTTAATATACACAGGTGTACACATTTTGGAATAAGTTTTCAAAAGATTCTAACAACTGGGTACATAAGTATCTTCTCATTGAAATGGTGTTTTTTTTTTTTATCTTTGCATATATTATTTTTCTGTGCTGACACAAACTAGAAAAAACAAACTCTAGAAGTTTTAAAAATTTACTAAGAAATAAATGTGCCAAGGTGGAAAACTCTACATAACATTAATTCATGTTGACCTGAATTAATATAAATCACAAATTATAATGTTGCATTTGCATTATTCTGACCAAGTCAGAAAACTGTATGATTCAATTATCCTAAGCAAAATCATGGTTTGGGTTTTTTTTTTTTTGTTTGAGAAGTCCATTTTTACATCCAATAGAGTCAACTGTTTGATATTAAAACTGTCCTAAAAAAATACCTGTGTATAGAGTTATTGGTTTAAAACATAATAAAATGTGTTTAAAATTCTGTTAAAACACTGAATAGTTTTTAACTATAAAACCTGTCCTTAAGGTACATCTCATATATATACAAATCAGATAATTAACATTACTTGGAAGAGTTACAATTAACATTGTCAAGTGTTTGAATGTTAGGCATTGGAGTTAGAAACAAGGGGAAAAAATTCCATCATTTTGTGGGAATATGATTGTGTAGGTCTTTAATAATATTGAAAGTAATATATATTATTTATATTTTTATAACTATAGGTTTTAATAACTAAGTTAAGCTTAGAAACACAAATGTGGCACTAAAAGGACAGGGAGAGGAACTGTGCTTGTATCTTCCTTATCTTTTCCTCTCAGTCTCCCCAGTCTGAGAAAATGGTAAGTCTTCTAGTAGTTTAGGACAAAAACCATGTCGTGATAACTCATGCTTCCTCTTCTCTCACATCTAAACCTTGAGTAAATTGTTAGGTTCTGTCTTCAGAATATACCCAGAATGTACTGTTTCACACCAGTTTCCCTGCTATCGCCTGTCATTTGTAGCATGAATTATTACAATATTTAATCCTAAAGTGTTCATTGTTTCAATTGTTCATCCATCTACCCATCAACTACTAATAAACAACTTCTTAAATCAGACAGTTTTGGGTACTTAAGTACACAGAAATTTCCCCTTTTGGCCTTTACAAAATGAATACCTCTTATTCATCCTGAGGTAAGGAATTATTTTCAAAGTTGAGATTCTAATGATTTGCTTCTAAACCAAACCAAACTGGAGAACTCAATTAATGTCATTAGGAATATTCTGATAGATAGCTATCAGTAAATGATTTTTGGCATATAACTCAATAATAAAAATAAATGAACCACTTTGCTATATTACATTCTTTTTGCTATATTAACATTCTTTTTACTCCCCTCAACTTAAATGAACAAAATATTTTGGCCTCTATATCTCTAAGAATGAAAAAGAAAAAGAATTCATGTTGATCTTTCAAATTCTAGCAATAAATAATATTCATTCATGGAAACTTAAGCTAAATAATAAAAGCCCAATCTCATTAAGAAACACATTTCAATATTTTTATAATTCATAATTGTGATTTATATTTTGATCAGTTCAGACTTAACTTTTATAACATTATGATCACAAGATATGCAATAAATTTAAATATACACCTTTTTTTCTGCAAGAAAGTGATAACCAATAAGACTTTCATGCCTAAAACCACATTACATGAATAGATTTCCGTAGGTGAGAGTTTCTCAATAGCACAGCACTATTGACATTTTGGGCTGATTAATTCTTTGCTGGAGGTTGCCTTGTGCAATGTAGGATGGACTCTTTTCACTAGATGCCAGTAGCCCTCATACCCTAGTGACAACCAAAGTGTCTCCAGATACTGCCAAATATCCCTTGGGAAGCAACAGCCCCTACCTGAGAACCACTGCTAAGGGGATAGAACAGCAATACAATGTGAAACTTTGACTATTAAATAGTTCACTTTTTAATAAATAGATGATGGGTATCAAAATAGTGAAATTTAATTTCATTGCATACCCTTAAAAGTGAGAGATTTTATAAAATGACATTTACAATGCACTAAAATTATATTATTTCCCATTATTTAAATTTATGGGGAAGAACTTTGGATGTTAGCTTATAATCCAATAGCCAAAAGTATCCTGTAGTTTATAGGAGATGTACTTTAACTTACTGATCTTTACCAAAGCCCAATAAGGTATCTTTAGAACACTCTAGGTTTATCTCACAGAGTTCTTAGCCTTTTTATTTCCTTTGACGAGTGTACTAAGTTCTTGAATACTATCTTTCTTGATAAAAATCTAGAAAAGTTAACTGAAAAGATTTTCAGGGCTTTTAAACAAATGTAAAATATTTAGACAAAAAAGCAAATACTTTTCAAAATTCAACCTGTATGGACCAGTAATCGTTTTTATTTTCACTCTTCAAATGATGCCTATATAATTCCAAGGATTTGGAGGTTAAGAATACTTTAAGAACTCCAAAGATCTTTTCCATACATAGAAATAGTACCCCTTAGTCCTGTTACTAGTCACCTAAACAGTCTCTTGGTATGCCCCAATTAGTTTAATCAGTTTACTGGCAAGTTTGCCAATGGAATCATTCACTCTAACTATAAATATAAAAATGTATGTAGTGTTTTTGTTTTAAAGCAATTCCACATAAATTATCATGTTTTTCTTGAACACATCTACAGGACAGGTAGAAGAGACGCTAGAAGAAATAATGCAGTTAAGTAATAACTTGCCTAGTTTACATTCAGCAGCAGAGCTGACATCTCCAGACTAAGCACACCCAACTCTTTTCTTAAGAAATCCTCATTTTAAATTCTGCTCATAACTTTACACTGTATGGAGTTTTGGGGTGCTTGAAAACAAGTTAAACCAAATTACTGCCAAAAGTGGCAGGAAGTCTTTAGTTTTAGCAGCAAAATTTCTTCAGACACTTAGACAAGGCTTGAAGACTAAATCTTCCAATTTGTCTGTATTTAAGGTAATATCATTTAAAAATCACTTCTTTGTTGAACATGTTGAATTGTCCAGATTTTTTTTTTTGTTTTAATTCTTATATTACAAAGGCCAAAACATTAACCTCAATAGTTCTTGTAAAGAGGATGGCTCTTTTACTATCAAATAACTGAGAACAAAATAGAAAAGTGAATTTGATAGTCCAGTATAGATGTTTCTCATTAAGCCCCTGTAGAATTGCGTTACTAGGGTCTTCTTAAAATCTGTTGAGTCTCTAAAATAAATTCGGTTAAGAGCCAGGTCCTTAATACCGTATCAGGAACCACCCATCCTTCAGACTAACAACTGCTCATTTTAACTGAGAAGTAAAATGATTTAAACTCATTTTATTATAGCGCTGAAACTATAAAGCATAATTATATATTCGCAGCTACTGCTGAAGAGTCCGAGTCGCCTAAAACTTGTAACAAAACAAGGCACTGTAGTTTAGCATTTCCGAGTTATTTTTGCAGTTGTGGCGTAAATCTGAGCCAACGTGCCTGTGTGGAGCACCAAGAGGCCCCGGGTCCTACAGCGGTACAGCCACGCGTCGTGGCCGGTGGGGCGGGCCAGAGTACGCCGGGGAGGAGTGGGTGGACCCGCCCTCTCCGCCCGGACCCTCGGGGGCGGCGCCGGGAAATGTACTGCGTCGAGTGGAAGGAAACAGCTTCAGGGACAGGCTGGGAGGGCAGGCGGGGAGCAAAGCAAACCTGCCAACTGCTCAGCCTTGCTTCTTCCCAGCGGTTAGCGCAGCACTCCAGGCGACACTAGGCCGCGTCAGTTCCCCTGTTCACCCTACTTTCCCTTTGAGGACTTCGATTTTTCCATGCTCATTCAGGAAAATTTAAGATGCCTACATAGATATGATATGACAAAGATGAAATCTCCAACCAGTCCCCCACAACTCACGCCTTTTCCACGTTTTCACCGCAAACCCGCCTCCAACACAGAGGCGCCCGGCCCCCTAGGGACGCGAGCGCCAGCCAGATGAACCCCGCCCCCTGGCGCGCGCTCCACCCATATAAGGCGCGCGGGGGAGGGGGCACGATGCCCTGCCCAGTTGCCTCCGCCCCGCGTGTGCGGCATCTGGCGAGAAGGGGTTGCAGTAACCTTCCGCGAGTCATTTCTTCTTTTAGTCTCCCGTAAAGGACCGTTTCTACAAAGGCAAAAGCCAGGCATCAGTAATAAACAATCACAAAAAATCAACTATTAGTAAAAGCATTTCACCACCAGAGCTCGCGAGTTTATCCCTCCTGCAATAACGCGAGCTCCGCCCCGAGGAGACAGCCCCAAAGCCACCCCCGCGAGCCTGCGCTTACGCTCTCCGAGCAGCGCGCGTCGCGCTCGCTCCGCCCCGCTAGCCCCGCCCCACACAACCCCTCCCCCGGCCCCGTCTCTGGAGAGTCAACGCGTACGAAGTGGGGAGTGCGGCGTTTGGGACTCGCGAGCACCTCATCCTTCCCACCTTCCTACACTGTTGCTACTTTTCGGTGTGAGACATTCCAGCTTCTCTTCCCCTTCCGTGAGTTCCTCCTTCCATCTCAGAGACCCTGCTGGCCCCACGGGCGGCCACCGCTGCATCTCCCGCGCCTCCAGGGTGCTGTGCGCGTGCGCGCGCGGGCAGACGCGGGCGCGTGGCCGTCGGGTCCCCGCGCTCCCTCCCCCTCCCGCTCCTCTATAACTTGGCTGGCTCGGGGGAGGCGCCGCCGGAGTCGGAGGGCGGGGAGCTCGGAGGAGGGAGCTCGAGAGTTGTGGAGACTAGTGACTAGCAGAAGTAGCAGCCTGCTCTGGTAGGCTCCTGGCCGCTCCTGGTCTCTCTTACACGCCTACTCCGCCTGCCCCAGCCCGCGCCCTTGCTCCTTCTCTGGTCCGGGGCCTCTGCCAGTCGCTCTCCGGACTTCGGCGCGGCGGGGGCGCCCCGGGGGTGCCCTCGCCCTCCGGGTGCGGGCTGAGGGCGGCGGGCGGGATGTGGCGCCTGGTGCCCCCGAAGCTGGGCCGCCTGTCCCGCTCGCTGAAGCTGGCGGCTCTGGGCAGCCTGTTGGTGCTGATGGTGCTGCATTCGCCGTCGCTGCTCGCCTCCTGGCAGCGCAACGAGCTGGCCGACCGGCGCTTTCTGCAGCTCAATAAGTGTCCGGCGTGCTTCGGTACGAGCTGGTGCCGCCGCTTCCTCAACGGGCAGGTAGTGTTCGAGGCGTGGGGTCGCCTGCGCCTGCTGGACTTCCTCAACGTGAAGAACGTCTACTTCGCGCAGTACGGCGAGCCCCGCGAGGGCGGCCGCCGCCGAGTGGTGCTCAAGCGCCTCGGCTCGCAGCGCGAGCTGGCGCAGCTCGACCAGAGCATCTGCAAGCGGGCCACCGGTCGGCCCCGCTGCGACCTGCTCCAGGCCATGCCCCGCACCGAATTCGCGCGCCTCAACGGCGACGTGCGGCTGCTCACGCCGGAGGCGGTGGAAGGCTGGTCTGATCTGGTGCACTGCCCCTCGCAGCGCCTGCTGGACCGCCTGGTGCGCCGCTACGCAGAGACCAAGGATTCGGGCAGCTTCCTGCTCCGTAACCTCAAGGACTCCGAACGCATGCAGCTGCTGCTGACCCTGGCCTTCAACCCCGAGCCGCTAGTGCTACAGGTAGGCGTGGAGCGCGACCGGGGGCGTCCTCCCGGGAGGGGCTGCGCGGGAACGGGAGTCGTGAGAAGTGGCTCCACCGGCTCTCGTTTGCTCAGTTTGGGCCCGGCCGAGCTGTGCCAGCCTGCGGGCTTGGCAAAGGGGCAGCGCCGGGGAGTGTGCCAGATTGCGGAGGGCAACCCGGCTGGTGGAGAGTCTTCTCTTGTCACCTAGACCCGGGCGCTTCTCGGATATGACTGCGTATCCCTTCAACGCCAGAGGGAGCGCGTCTCGTACGATCCCAAAATGTCTCTCCAGCGAGTTTCTTCGGCTCTCCTCTCTGCCTTTTGCTTTTATCTGCCGGGGTTGCATTTCCACGGCCCAGTCTGTTCGCAGGTTCTTGGACTTTTAGTTCTTTTTAGTGTTTCTTCACCGCGTTTATTCTCCCTTTTTGTGCCCTGCATGGCTGGCCTAACTTCGGCCCCAAAGTCTCTTTGTTTTATCCTTTAGCCTATTTACCTGGCAAATCATTGAGGCTCCTAATTTGGGGACTAGCTAGGGAAAATAAAGGGCAGAGAATGGAGACTGTGGTCAGGGGTGGAGTTAACTGATGAGTCTTGCTTTAGGCAGAATTAGGAAGAAGAGAAAGTTAAGTTTTCCTTGCACTTGAGTCGGGGAGGGTTTAAGGCCAAGACGGACATTTTCATCCTGATCCTGTGACCTGCCCTATTTATCTGGTATTTGGCAGCAGAAAGGAAATGAAATGTTAGGCCAGGGCGAGAAACGGAAAGGAGATTCTCACCTCTCCTCTAGTTCAGTCATTGGTTCGCTCTTGACTTTATTTTGAAAATAAACGTGCCTTTTAGGGGACTAGGTTGAGATCTTTTTTACTGGTGACAGCAAAAAAAGAAAACAAAACCTTTAAAAAAAAAAACTGTTTACCTTTGGATTAGTTACTGAGTTACCACACGTTCCCATCCGGCTTTAGTGCGGTGTCCTTGGATAGTGGTTACAACTGTGGGTTTGTGATTCCTTCTGATAACCACAACCCTGTTCCTTTTCCATACCAGTTTTGCTGTAGTATTTAAAATACAAGGGAGGAAATAAAAAAGACATAAAATCAATCACAAGTAATTTTAATATACTTCATGCCCTTTCTACGCTGCTAAGAATGTCACTGATAGCTGGGGGAGTTTGTACAGGGTTATTTTTTAAAATCTGAAGCGCACGTATAGGAATGTGCAGTATTCATTTATGTTGCTTTCTTTCCTCAAGTTCCGCTGCCCAACTTAGCTAAGAGAAACCAGCTTCATTTGATTGCTTCAGCCAAATAATTTTAACAAAAATATTTTGCCTCAAAACTTTAATGTGGGTCTTGGTAAATTTTAAGGTATCATGGGTTGTATGTAATGGGTAGAATTTAAAGTACAGATTATGTATTAAATACTCCTCTCTTTAACAGAAAATGGTATATAAAACTGGCTAAACATCTACTGAAGAAATTATTTGGTAGTTTTAAAGCTAGTCATTCTCTAAAGCTTAAGGTCATATTCATGATATATACATTTGATTTGACACCTTTTTTTTGTTTTGTTTTAATTTAAGCTACCTCTTTGAGAAATGTTAGCAAGAATGGTTTCTGGAGAAGGGTTTAGTGTGTAGTTTGCTGAGTAGTCTGTAAAAATCTCTGGAACCCAAAAATTTAATAAGGAGCTATTGTAGTAGTAATGCACATTTTCTGCATTTATAATAGTGGCTACCCATTTAAAGATTTTTATCAGGTAATTCTGAGTATTGTTGTACTAGAAAGAATTAATATTAAAACTTATATTTTAAGAACATTATGCATTATGTGTCAGTAATTTATAAACATGGCATTTGAATCCTCGAAACTTTGGCATTTGATTTGTACTAAAGAAGGTCTTTATTTGGGAAGCTTTTCAGTTTTTCAGTTTGAAGTTGTCTTGGCATATTCAATTTACTTTATAGTTGAAATAGTCAAGAGTGCTCATGCCTTCTTATTAACTCTTCCTCAAACTTTTTCTTCCTGTTTTTATCTTTAGTGATAAACAACTTTTGAAAAAAAAAAAACCAGTATATTCTTGTAATTTAAATTTAGTGACAATTGCTCTGAGGGAGTAGGTAAATGGGTTACAGGTAGGATAAAAGTTTGTTTTTAGTATGTGAGGAAATATATGTATCAACATTGTTGACTGGCATTTGTAAATTGCATTTTCAGTTTAGGCAACCCAGTTCTATAGTTAATTGCATGGTGCGTGAAATATGAAATACAAATTTGGGGTCTTTAGTACCAGTCATATTGATATGTTTATTCTTTTTACTTGATGAACAAACAAGTAGAATAAGAAGACATATTTTTTATATAAGAGATCTTCATAGAGCTGTTACTTTGTTTATGGAACCACTTCATCTTTGGTAAAAACTAGTGAGTTAATAAGTATGAACAAGGTAATAGAGGTTTGATGATATGAAACCACTAAAATAAAAGGAATCTCAAAATTCTGTGATAAGTACAAAGATCGTTGCACACACTAAGCCAAATCATGTTCATCATTTTTTGTTAGCTAGACAAAAGTATAATATTTTAATATTTATACAGGTTTCTATAAAACTTAGTGGCTGTTTATGTTAGTTTTGGGATATTAATTGATTATGGTAGAAAAACTCACTCAAATATGACTCTCTTTGTACATATGTGTTGGTTCATGTATTTTTAAAAATATTTTTGAGGATATAAATGTGTGTTTTACGGTTTAAAGAGGAACTCATATTTTTTTTTTTTCCCAGGAGAGGGAGCTACTAATTGAATTTTTGGACATTTGGTGACAAACTAGATTTTTCTTATCTGTAATTGTTCAAAAATTAACTACTTTTGAAAATAAGTCTTTTGAGCTGACATCATCAAACTGTTTTTAACACAAGTTCCAGTGTGGTAAACATGTTTCCAAAATAAACATTTAAAAATCTCCTTTGATAAGGTACTAATGAAAGAACTGAAAAATAACATAAATTTAACCCATTAAACTTGCCTCTTCTGATTTTAAGAAACAATAACAAATTGAAGTTTCTGTTGTGCTGGAAAGGATGCATGAAAGGTATTAAATGTCTGTAACGTATATAACACACATACCTTATCTAAGGGTATATGGATTTGTAATATAGAATTCCATTTGAAATGGTATGAAAGCACAAATCTCTTCCCATTGTTGGATTGTTTTACTGGCTTACAGAAACTTATCTAGCTCTAAGGAAAGTTGTTCAGTAGTAGAATTACCTTCTGAAAAATTTTGTAAACATCAAGATAATGTGAGTACCTTTATCTTCTACCCTGATACCTTCTTTTCATCCTCACATTTTTACTTCACCAAGAAGTGTATTTTAATTACAAGTATGCCACAGCCCTATGAAAAAAATTGGGTAGAGGGACTGTTGATATTATATTGTGTAATAGCATTCTTGGAATATTCAGAAGTTGACGTGTTGAAATATTTGGCAGGATGGCAAGATGTATTCTGTTATTGTATTGGTAAATTTTCTACTAGTGTTTGTACTTACCAGTTTTTGAATTTATAAAGGTTGTGTGTGAGAGAGGAAAAAAACTGGATTTCCTGAAGTCCAGACTATATCTCTAACTTTATCACCTGGAGATGGTGAAGATGGTCTTGTTTATGGAAATAAAGAAAGCTCTTGATTGTTTAGTTTTACTATTATATTTATAGAATTTTATTTGCCTTATGTTTTCTGAATCATGGTTTTAAGAGAAATTTCTTATTTTTTACAGTATCATTATTTAAGCTATGCATTTGGGGACTTGGTCCTTGCTAGGAGTATGGATTGGAGACCAGATAGAATAGATAGATAACCCTGTTTCACACTTATATTCCTACCCTCAAATTTTTATACACATGAAATCAGATTAAAACAAAACAAAACCCAGAGACTGCCTTTAAAGAAAAAAAATATGGAGGTAAAGGTTTCCAAAGATCTTGTGGACGCTATAGCATCTATAAAGGATATTCCAGACTTTGTCTCAGAATTTTCTTTTTAAGCAACAGCTTAAGGAGCCATCTACTTCTTTCCCACTGGCTGTTGCTGTAGTAAGTACATTCTCAGATTTAGAGACTTCAGAGATAGTTCTGACTAGGGAGTTCTGAGAAGAGCACTTTTTTCCTAATAAATTCATAAACTTTAGAGGATTGCCCCCCACCTTCCTTTTTTCTGAGTTTCCATCAGAGGTTTACTTTTGACACTAGAACATCCCTTCATGAAAAAGCAAACAAAAAATAATTCTGTGTTCCTCAAGTCCAAAAAAGGATGCTTGTATTTTGGAAAGGCTGTAGAAATAGACAGTAACCCTTAGGAAAGCACTACTTCCAGATCAGTAGAGCAAAATCATTTGACACCCTGGTCTGTTTTCTGGATTAATCCATATCTTTTGACTATTATTAATTCTGAGATTCTTTCTGTACTTTTGTGTAGTTGTGAACTCTTTTTTTTCTTATTTCCATTGCATGAGTCAGCACATGTTCCTCCAGCATGTTGGTGAGGAATAGAAAGCTTACTTTTTAAGGGGTGTGCTTTCTGGATGTGGTGTTCAGTTTTTCAACAAATCTCCAGACTGGTTTTTATAATCTGTTTTTCTGGCTTATTTCCTATATTGCTATCATTGCTGCTGATTCTTCACAGAATGCTGACGTTTTTTTCTTTTCACCCATGTGTGTTATATTAATAGGGCCTTAAAATGTAAGCCTACATTTTTTACATATACAGTGAACTTTAGTAAATGATTATAGAATGTCTTAAGATTGTAAATTACTAGTGTAAGATGAAAAGAATAGTTATTCATCCTGGTCATAAACCCTGAAAGGCTTTACATTATTTATCAAATCTTTTATCCAACTTGTATGTCTTTTTTAAAAATAGATTCTTGATGTGAAATTATCTGTGAAATAGTTGGAAACTCTTTGGACTTAACAGTCCTAGACTTTGGTCAGAAGGACACA